TTTGTTGTTGTTGTTGTTGTTGTTGCTGGTTGTTTGATATGTTGATGATGAATGATGGTGGGCTCTGTTTGGAGCCTGCAAGCCCCTTTAGACAATCATTGGAAAGGTTCACCTTGTAGAAGGCAGTAAAAAGTCATAGCATGGCTAACTACTGATTTACTTTGAGAGATTTGGTTAATCTCAATAGTCGGACAGTTCCACAAAATGAATGTGGATTAAAGTAAAGGCGGTGGGAGGACAAAGGAGGCCCACATGGAGCTGGTCGTCCTCTCAGTCCGGTTACTGGGGCACCAGGAGCCACACATGGCTGCCATTGGTATGCAAATGAGGGGTTTATTAGGCCTATCGTCCGGGTTACAGCCGGGAACACTCAGATATGTTGAAAGTGAATCTGGGGAGGGGGCTCGAGCTCCATTCACTTCAATGCATCCAGGTCCCAACCAGCCAGCATTCAAACAGCTCAGTGTGTGCTAAACATTTATGATTAAACAAAAATTACTTTATGAGAGGATTAAAACACAAGAGTAATTTACATTTGGAGAGTCTGCTAATCACGGCTTAACCTACCTCACAAAGAGTGACGGGACAAAAACACAACAACAGAGTATTAAGTTATTAAGGTCATAAAGCAGCTATATCTCAGTCCCCAGTTCCTCACTAACACACCCCAACACAAGAGGACCTCAGCTTCACACACACAGTTCACAAGAGATTTAAAAATATAGAATTTTCACTCACCGAACATCTGGACAATAAATTCAAAACAGACACAAAGAAGAAACGTGTCCCAAAAAAAGTTCATTAATAAAGCCGGGAGCTCTCTGCACACACACCCCTCACACACTGCACACACAACAGGAAGAGACACTCTCACACACACACACACACTGCAGCTCACACACATTGTGGTTCACACACACGGCGGCCATGACTGAAACTCCAGCGGCAGTTTGACGGACGGAGGGAGATCTCCTTCAGGATTACTGGAGTCACCCGGAGAGGGGGAGGAGGGGGAGGAAGTCCCCCTGCACTTCACCTCTTCTGATTCGCTGTGAGGGGCTGATATGCTAATCAAGGAGGACATGTCCACCCATCAGGCATTTCCACCATCACTATGGCAACAGGTGGCTCTGGGGGTGAAGCTTCCCCCTGGCGGAGCAGCAGATGAAGCTTCATTATGTTTAGTTTATTCATTGTTTAATGAATTTAACACAGTTCAGTGTTTATAGATCTCTTATCATGCTATGTTTAGGCATATATTATGGGATATCAGATATAAACACATCTATAAAAAACATGTCTATGATGTAAAACCACATGAAGGATTCTCTCTGAAACAGTATGGAGCTCAAACTCTTTCTCTCTCAGGTTTACCACAAGGTGACTTCCTTTTGATTTCCTGCTTCTTCACACATGCTCTCTCCAGTACAGGTTAGCTCTGAGTGTTAGCATGCTAATGTAAACACAGGCCATATTACTTCCAGAACACGTCTCATTGTTTCTGACAGCAACGTTTCTGATTGGCCCGTGGGTGTAAAGCCCGCCCACATTTTAGTAATGTGGTCATGACGCAGCAAATCTGGATCAGCTCCGTTGTTCCCCCGTTTTTCGAGATGTGGGTACGGAGGAAAAGAGAGAGGGGTTTATTTCCTGACACTTTGAGAGTCTGCTGACACACCGGGGACACATGTTGATGTATAAAAGACATCACTTTGAGAGTCTCCTGACACACCGGGGACACATGGGGACACATGGGGACACACCAGGGACACACCGGGGACACACCGGGGACACACCGGGGACACATGGGGACACACCGGGGACACACCGGGGACACACCGGGGACACATGGGGACACACCAGGGACACATGGGGGACACACCGGGGACACACCGGGGACACATGGGGACACACCAGGGACACACCGGGGACACACCAGGGACACATGGGGGACACATGGGGACACACCGGGGACACACCGGGGACACACCAGGGACACACCGGGGACACACCAGGGACACACCAGGGACACACCGGGGACCAGTGTTGGGCAAGTTACTTTTAAAAAGTAACTAGTAATAGTTATAGTTACTGCTCTCAAAAAAGTAACTAGTTACTTTATTAGTTACTAAATTATAAAAGTAACTAGTAACAAGTTACTTTACTTTAAAAATAATAACAATAAAAATACAAGTTTTTGTGTTGTTGGAAAAGGTCTTTCTGCACTGACTAGTTCTCTGAAGGCAACAGACTCCACCGTTGCGATGGGCAGCATGTCCTCAACAACATACCTGGCAATCAATCTGTTTAGTTGACTCTGGGTGACATGTGGCGTTTTTTGGCTGTTTAGATGGTGTTGCTCCATCTGGGTCACTGCTGGTTGAGACGGTGGGGTCTTTGGAGACTAGTTGTATAGCCGCATGTACATTAGTTAGGTGCTTCAGGAGATTGGCATTGCTGTTATTCGACGTGGACAATGCTCTCTGTCCTGCACACAGTTTATATTTGACCGTAATATTTTTTGCGTCCTTTATCCCCACAAATTGAAAATAGTGGTTATATCTCCAAGTTGTAAATGCGCTGCTGCTCTCGCTGATACTTGCATCTGCCATTGTGTGTGTGTGTGCTGGTGGTGGGCGTTGCCGTGTATGTGTGTGTGTTAGCAAGTGTTTGTGTGTCTGTGTATTTTCCCCATAAGGCAAGACTGGAATGTAAAGTTTTAAATAAAAATAAAAGTTGTTTGACGAGAGGGTTAGGCGTTACTCCCCGTCACTGACTTTGGAACAAACCAAAACTAAAAGAGGGGGGTGAATCTCTGAGCTAACACTCCCTCAGCTGAAGGAAATCTTTTTAAGAAATGATAAAGAGAAATGTGTAGCCAGCATACCACAAACACTACATGATGTGTTTTAGGAACACAAAGAGCACTCAGCTCTGCACTGACCCCCCCCCCCCCCCCAAAGCTTCACTGGTATCCAGCTGGTCGTCATCAATCCCTCTGCAGGCCTCCAAACTAACACAGAACCACCCTGACCCAGTACAGACTGTCAGTAAACACAGAACCACCCTGACCCAGTACAGACTGTCAGTAAACACAGAACCACCCTGACCCGGTACAGACTGTCAGTAAACACAGAACCACCCTGACCCGGTACAGACTGTCAGTAAACACAGAACCACCCTGACCCAGTACAGACTGTCAGTAACACAGAACCACCCTGACCCAGTACAGACTGTCAGTAAACACAGAACCACCCTGACCCGGTACAGACTGTCAGTAAACACAGAACCACCCTGACCCGGTACAGACTTAGTGCACCTGAAACACACCCACACATTCTGACGAAACACACTTGAAACACACCTGATCACACACACACACACACACACACACACACACACACACACACACACACACACACACACACACACACACACACACACACACACACACACACACACACACACACACACACACACACACACACACACACACACACACACACACACACACACACACACACACACACACACACACACACACACACACACACACACACACACACACACACACACACACACACACACACACACACACACACACACACACACTCTGACAATACACACCCGAAACACACCCACACTGACGAAACACACCTGATCACACACACACACACTCTGACAAAACACACCTGATCACACACACACACTCTCATTGCTCGCTGCATGTGAACCCCTGCTGTCTGTAGAGACACCACCTTGGTTTGGAGAGTGATTTCAGAGATGTTGGTGTCAGTGACTAGATTTCTGTCTTCATGTAATGCTTGCTAAACCCTGAGCGGTGAAGTGTGTGATGGTGTGTCAGAGCAGAGAGAGAAGCAGCATTAACAGAAACACTGAAATGTGTTCATGTTCACTGTCAGAAGAAGCCTTGAGTAGTCGTCCAACCACAACATGAGTAATCACACTGTGACGGACACACACACACTGGTGTTTGCAGATGCTATAGAGACTCTGTACAGATAAACTCTGAATGGACTCGTACAGCAGGATCTGTTACGTTATGATCCAGAGAGACAATGGAGCAGTGAGTCACTGACAGGCCTCAGGACTCATGAATCATAAACCAGATCTGAAGAGTCAATAAGGGGCAGAAACCATGAGGAAGCCTGCTGGGAAAACTATACAGGAGTCTGATCACACAGGGGGGGGGGTATTATTATTATAGCGATACTCATCTGATATCATAGTGACACTCATCTGATATGATAAAAAAGAGAAAATATACAACTACACACACACACACACACACACACACACACACACACACACACACACACACACACACACACACACACACACACACACACACACACACACACACACACACACACACACACACACACACACACACACACACACACACACACACACACACACACACACACACACACACACACACACACACACACACACACACACACACACACACACACACACACACACACACACACACACACACACACACACACACACACACACACACACCCCCCTGATAGGTGGAGGGTTGCTCATATGGGCGGAGCTCCCTGTTTCTGACGTCAGAGATATTTCAAATCTGGATCAGTTTTTATCAGATCCGTTGCAGCCCCTTTTTTAGAGATTTGGGTATGGAGGAAAAGAGAGAGGGTTGTGTTTTCTGACACTTGGTGAGTTCCCTGGAACACCGGGGACACATATTCATGTAGAAAAGACGTACAAAAGTGCATGATAGGTCCCCTTTAAGTATACTGGTTTTAGAGGTGTTATAGTATACCTCTTCACCAGTTAAGTATACTGGTTTTAGAGGTGTTATAGTATACCTCTTCACCAGTTAAGTATACTGGTTTTAGAGGTGTTATAGTACACCTCTTCACCAGTTAAGTATACTGGTTTTAGAGGTGTTATAGTATACCTCTTCACCAGTTAAGTATACTGGTTTTAGAGGTGTTATAGTATACCTCTTCACCACCAGGCTCAGGCTCCGGTGGGACCCCTTCACCAGGCAGATGGCTTCCTGTCTGAAGCCGCTCAGAGGAATCTCGTTAATGTTGACCAGCTCGTCTCCAACCTGCAGACTCACAGCGGCCGCCTTGCTGTCCTCCTCCACCTGCAGCACACACACACACAAACACATTATAATACACACATACAATATTATAAATACAGCACAGTAACACACCTCTTAATAAATAATAAAGTAGTGGAAATACTCAGTGAATGATGTCAGGTTATTATATATCTGTGACTATATAAAGACATTGTATTGGATGCCTTTCTGCAAAGGTAACGCCTGAAATCATATGAATTACTTCTGATTGGCCACAGACCAACACACCCCCTCCCTCCTCTGTAATAACAGTGTAAAGGGGGGTGGGGGGGGGTTAGGGCGTCTGGCTGGGTTCCTGAGCTGCTCCTGATATGGTTGTGTTTCTGTGTTTCTGTGTTTTGTGGAGACATGAATCACTGATGTATTAACAGTGAGAGCTTTTAACCCTAACGTTGAATCATTAACAGGCTCTCTGGGCTCTGCAGGTGAATCAGTGTTTCTGGTGGAGCAGGTGAGGTGTGAGACAGGTGAGGTGTGAGACAGACAGGTGAGGTGTGAGACAGGCGAGGTGTGAGACAAGTGAGGTGTGAGACAGGTGAGGTGTGAGACAGGCAGGTGAGGTGCGAGACAGGCAGGTGAGGTGTGAGATAGGCGAGGTGTGAGACAGGTGAGGTGTGAGACAGGCAGGTGAGGTGTGAGACAGGCGAGGTGTGAGACAGGCAGGTGAGGTGTGAGACAGGCGAGGTGTGAGACAGGTGAGGTGTGAGACAGGCAGGTGAGGTGTGAGACAGACAGGTGAGGTGTGAGACAGCCAGGTGAGATGTGAGACAGGCAGGTGAGGTGTGAGACAAGTGAGGTGTGAGACAGGTGAGGTGTGAGACAAGTGAGGTGTGAGACAGACAGGTGAGGTGTGAGACAGGCAGGTGAGGTGTGAGACAGACAGGTGAGGTGTGAGACAATCGAGGTGTGAGACAGGTGAGGTGTGAGACAGGCAGGTGAGGTGTGAGACAGGCAGGTGAGGTGTGAGACAGGCAGGTGAGGTGTGAGACAGGCAGGTGAGGTATGAGACAGGTGAGGTGTTAGACAGACAGGTGAGGTGTGAGACAGGTGAGGTGTGAGACAGGCAGGTGAGGTGCGAGACGGACAGGTGAGGTGTTAGACAGACAGGTGAGGTGTGAGACAGGTGAGGTGTGAGACAGGCGAGGTGTGAGACAGGCAGGTGAGGTGTGAGACAGGCGAGGTGTGAGACAGGTGAGGTGTGAGACAGGCAGGTGAGGTGTGAGACAGACAGGTGAGGTGTGAGACAGCCAGGTGAGATGTGAGACAGGCAGGTGAGGTGTGAGACAAGTGAGGTGTGAGACAGGTGAGGTGTGAGACAAGTGAGGTGTGAGACAGACAGGTGAGGTGTGAGACAGGCAGGTGAGGTGTGAGACAGACAGGTGAGGTGTGAGACAATCGAGGTGTGAGACAGGTGAGGTGTGAGACAGGCAGGTGAGGTGTGAGACAGGCAGGTGAGGTGTGAGACAGGCAGGTGAGGTGTGAGACAGGCAGGTGAGGTATGAGACAGGTGAGGTGTTAGACAGACAGGTGAGGTGTGAGACAGGTGAGGTGTGAGACAGGCAGGTGAGGTGCGAGACAGACAGGTGAGGTGTTAGACAGACAGGTGAGGTGTGAGACAGGTGAGGTGTGAGACAGGCAGGTGAGGTGCGAGACAGGCAGGTGAGGTGTGAGACAGACAGGTGAGGTGTGAGACAGGCAGGTGAGATGTGAGACAGGCAGGTGAGGTGTGAAACAAGTGAGGTGTGAGACAGGTGAGGTGTGAGACAAATGAGGTGTGAGACAGGTGAGGTGTGAGACAAGTGAGGTGTGAGACAGACAGGTGAGGTGTGAGACAGGCAGGTGAGGTGTGAGACAGACAGGTGAGGTGTGAGACAATCGAGGTGTGAGACAGGTGAGGTGTGAGACAATCGAGGTGTGAGACAGGTGAGGTGTGAGACAGGCAGGTGAGGTGTTGAGACAAGTGAGGTGTGAGACAGGCAGGTGAGGTATGAGACAGGTGAGGTGTGAGACAGACAGGTGAGGTGTGAGACAATCGAGGTGTGAGACAGGTGAAGTGTGAGACAGGCAGGTGAGGTGTGAGACAGGCAGGTGAGGTGTGAGACAATCGAGGTGTGAGACAGGTGAGGTGTGAGACAGGCAGGTGAGGTGTGAGACAGGCAGATGAGGTGTGAGACAGGCAGGTGAGGTGTGAGACAATCGAGGTGTGAGACAGGTGAAGTGTGAGACAGGCAGGTGAAGTGTGAGACAGACAGGTGAGGTGTGAGACAGGCAGGTGAGGTGTGAGACAGGCAGATGAGGTGTGAGACAGGCAGGTGAGGTGTGAGACAATCGAGGTGTGAGACAGGTGAAGTGTGAGACAGGCAGGTGAGGTGTGAGACAGGCAGATGAGGTGTGAGACAGGCAGGTGAGGTGTGAGACAGGCCGATGAGGTGTGAGACAGGCAGGTGAGGTGTGAGACAATCGAGGTGTGAGACAGGTGAGGTGTGAGACAGGCAGGTGAGGTGTGAGACAGGCAGATGAGGTGTGAGACAGGCAGGTGAGGTGTGAGACAATCGAGGTGTGAGACAGGTGAAGTGTGAGACAGGCAGGTGAGGTGTGAGACAGGCAGATGAGGTGTGAAACAGGCAGGTGAGGTGTGAGACAATCGAGGTGTGAGACAGGTGAAGTGTGAGACAGGCAGGTGAGGTATGAGACAGGCAGGTGAAGTGTGAGACAGGCAGGTGAGGTGTGAGACAGGTGAGGTGTGAGACAGACAGGTGAGGTGTGAGACAATCGAGGTGTGAGACAGGTGAAGTGTGAGACAGGTGAAGTGTGAGACAGACAGGTGAGGTGCGAGACAGACAGGTGAGGTGTGAGACAGACAGGTGAAGTGTGAGACAGGCAGGTGAGGTGTGAGATAAGTGAGGTGAATACATCTATTTCTAATATTGTGTTCTGAAGGAGCTCTAATGGTCGGCGCGTTTCCACTGCAGCGCGGAGCACGGTTTAAGAGGGCTGTGACGTCAGCGGCCCGTCTTTGGTTGCGTTTCCACTTGGCCTAGTACCGGCCGGCGGGTCCTAATTCACAGTTTTTCTGGCCTCATAAAATCGTGGGTCTAGGGCCAGAGACAACGAGGCTGAGTCGGGCTGAGTATGCTAAACTAGAGAGAGCATCGCTGGCAAGGGGGCTACAACTACAACAAGATGGACATATTTGACCGTGATTTAATTGTAATACACGTTTCTAAATGATGAAGTAACAACATACTGATACCGGTTAGTAAAAACCATGAATTAATGCTTTGACAAGTCTGCAGACAGACGGCAGGCGAAAAACCTTTTAAAATGCGTGTTTTCTGAATGGAGATTGGCTAAGCTAACGCAGTATATGCTCCGACCGTCCACACTCACAACAACGGCCTATACAGACATAAATAAAGCAGCGACTGTATTCACCATGACACAGGCAGTCTGTGGTTTGTACTTGTTGAACTTTTGTCTAGTTTCTGAACATATATGAGGAGCTGTGAGCTTGAGTGCTCACGGCTCCGCCTACACTGCGTTACTATAGATACTACCCCAGTTCCTAAACTGTAATGAAAATGCGCCATAAAGTGAGTCAGTCCTAACGAGGCCTAGCCATACCGAGCGAGGCCGTGTCGTGGAAACGCGCCAGAATAGTCTGTATGTTCAGCTCTGTGCAGAGGCTGTAGCACGGTGTGTCACACACACACACACACACACACACACACACACACACACACACACACACACACACACACACACACACACACACACACACACACACACACACACACACACACACACCACACACACACACACACACACACACACACACACACACACACACACACACACACACACACACACACACACACACACACACACACACACACACACACACACACACACACACACACACACACACACACACACACACACACACACACACCAGTGTTCTACCTACTGTAGAACATGAGGGGCTTCTGTCAGGACCTAAGCAGTTAGAAACCCTAACCCTTTTACTGAAGACAAGTCTTCAGGAAGCCTGTCTCCCTGCAGGGAGACATGTAGAGGATAACTTCAGCAAAGTGTTGAGAGGCAGATTATAAAAAAACACAAATAAAGAGCGTGTTTACTCAGCTTCACAGGATTCATCATGTGTCCCAGCCAGCCCTTATCACCAGCCCTTATCACCAGCCCTTATCACCAGCCCTTATCACCAGCCCACCCCATAATCACCACAGTGCAGCCATCCTGAGGACCTCCAGAATAACCTCCTGTCTCTGTGGGGGTCTGAAGGAAGGATGACTGATGTCCTGACTGACTTCCTGACAGCCAGCTGACGGAGGCTTCAGTCAAAATGAAGCTGCAGCCAAAGATTATTTTCATTATCAAACTATAAAATATCAGGAAATGGTGATGCTGTTCGTCCCAGCACTCTGTGAGTCCTGGAGACTTCCTCAGGCAGCACTGAGTCCTAACAATACTGTCCTCTGTCTCTGTCCTCAGGATCATTCAGGAGTGCTTTGGGTTTTAGATGGAGCTGCTTCATTGGGAAAGCGTTGCTCACTCTGTACTGTTAATTGACTCAATCTTTTCAAATCCGCCGGCTCCCGTCACCACTCTGTTAATGATGGATGTTCAACATTATAAAGTGTTTGCCCAACCCTACACACATTACGTTATGTGTCTGACATGTTGAGGCTCAACAGGGTACGGCTGAAGGACATGTGTGTTATCTGATTCTTTACACCAGCCTCCGTCTGATCAACATAATAATTCCTACACTAATCATTTGAATAGCTTCATGATCCAGTGTATGAATCACCTCAGGCCTGCAGGTTGAGCAACCCAGCAACCGTCAGATCCAAGAGTAATCCAACCAGTTTACCTCAGGGTTTATCCTCTGAGAGCAGAGGCTCTACAGCGTGTTCTTATTAACAGCATGTAAATGTTCTTATTAACAGTATGTACATGTTCTTATTAACAGCATGTACATGTTCTTATTAACAGCATGTACATGTTCTTATTAACAGCATGTACATGTTCTTATTAACAGCATGTACATGTTCTTATTAACAGCATGTACATGTTCTTATTAACAGCATGTAAATGTTCTTATTGACAGTATGGTCATGTTCTTATTAACAGCATGTACATGTTCTTATTAACAGCATGTACATGTTCTTATTAACAGCATGTAAATGTTCTTATTGACAGCATGGTCATGTTCTTATTAACAGCATGTACATGTTCTTATTGACAGCATGGTCATGTTCTTATTAACAGTATGGTCATGTTCTTATTGACAGCATGGTCATGTTCTTATTAAATGAGATCCTGGCACAGGGAATATATGTTGGAGCTGCATGCCCAGCTGTCTTGTGTAAAACTGGATTATATAACTTTATTGAGAGTAAGGACGTTAAGTCCATGAAAACCTTGAGCAGAACCTGAGCTATGAGAGGAATGCTGAGAATTTTAATTAGATCCAGGATTTCAGTTTTCTACTCAAACTCTGAACCTCTCATCCAACTCTGGGCCTTCATTATCTTTCATTAATAGCAAAGAAAATGTATAATGATTACCTCAGATTGAATAGAAGTCTATGAGGAAATGTTCCTACTTCTCTCTTGAGTACGTCGACGGTCCAGCCAACGTCTACTAACAACCAGAAACTAACCCAGCACAGAATCATCAGGACGGTCCAGCTAACATCTGCTAACAACCAGAAACTAACCCAGCACAGAATCATCAAGACGGTCCAGCTAACATCTGCTAACAACCAGAAACTAACCCAGCACAGAATCATCAGGACGGTCCAGCTAACATCTGCTAACAACCAGAAACTAACCCAGCACAGAATCATCAGGACGGTCCAGCTAACATCTGCTAACAACCAGAAACTAACCCAGCACAGAATCATCAGGACGGTCCAGCTAACATCTGCTAACAACCAGAAACTAACCCAGCACAGAATCATCAGGACGGTCCAGCTAACATCTGCGAACAACCAGAAACTAACCCAGCACAGAATCATCAGGACGGCCCAGCTAACATCTGCTAACAACCAGAAACTAACCCAGCACAGAATCATCAGGACGGTCCAGCTAACATCTGCTAACAACCAGAAAGTAACCCAGCACAGAATCATCAGGACGGTCCAGCTAACATCTACTAACAACCAGAAACTAACCCAGCACAGAATCATCAGGACGGTCCAGCTAACATCTGCTAACAACCAGAAACTAACCCAGCACAGAATCATCAGGACGGTCCAGCTAACATCTGCTAACAACCAGAAACTAACCCAGCACAGAATCATCAGGACGGTCCAGCTAACATCTGCTAACAACCAGAAACTAACCCAGCACAGAATCATCAGGACGGTCCAGCTAACATCTGCTAACAACCAGAAACTAACCCAGCACAGAATCATCAGGACGGTCCAGCTAACATCTGCTAACAACCAGAAACTAACCCAGCACAGAATCATCAGGACGGTCCAGCTAACATCTGCTAACCATCAGCGAGAACAAACCGAACTCAGTGAGCTACCAGAGAACACATCTTCAGAGGTTGTGATAATACAGGTGAAATACTTTAGATTCTCACCATCAGATGCAAACATGTTCGCTTACCTTCAGTGATATTAACAGTATAACTGATATCACACCAGAGAACCAGAGTCCAGCAGAATGGTTCCCTCCTCACTCAGCTGATATCACACCAGAGAACCAGAGTCCAGCAGAATGGTTCCCTCCTCACTCAGCTGATATCACACCAGAGAACCAGAGTCCAGCAGAATGGTTCCCTCCTCACTCAGCTGATATCACACCAGAGAACCAGAGTCCATCAGAATGGTTCCCTCCTCACTCAGCTGATATCACACCAGAGAACCAGAGTCCATCAGAATGGTTCCCTCCTCACTCAGCTGATATCACACCAGAGAACCAGAGTCCATCAGAATGGTTCCCTCCTCACTCAGCTGATATCACACCAGAGAACCAGAGTCCAGCAGAATGGTTCCCTCCTCACTCAGCTGATATCACACCAGAGAACCAGAGTCCATCAGAATGGTTCCCTCCTCACTCAGCTGATATCACACCAGAGAACCAGAGTCCAGCAGAATGGTTCCCTCCTCACTCAGCTGATATCACACCAGAGAACCAGAGTCCATCAGAATGGTTCCCTCCTCACTCAGCTGATATCACACCAGAGAACCAGAGTCCAGCAGAATGGTTCCCTCCTCACTCAGCTCCAGATAAAAGACTTGGTCAGATCCTGGTCACATTGTGAAACCTGCAGTACTGAGGAGTCCTGATTCTGTTGCTCTGAGGAAACATGCAGCTGATATCCGAGTTTCGGTCATGTGAGTCGGACTTCGGACCTCAGACGGGTCAACACAGAAACTAGGAACCCAACCTAAAGCAGCCCCCGACCAGCAGGTGTTTAACCAGGTCACTACCTGAAGTTAATCATTACACAACGAACACAGTGAGCTGATAGGCTGCCTTCCTCTATCTGTGCTAACACTGAGGGTAAGAGCAGCTGATCCACACAGAACATGTGCTGTGGTCAGTTTCTGCTAGAACACAGAACATGCTTTAGCTGCACTCTCTCCACAGATCAGCTGCAGAACACACACACACACACACACACACACACACACACACACACACACACACACACACACACACACACACACACACACACACACACACACACACACACACACACACACACACACACACACACACACACACACACATCACACACACACACACCACACACACACACACACACACACACACACACACACACACACACACACACACACACACCACACACACACACACACACACACACACACACACACACACACACACACACACACACACACACACACACACACACACACGTGTGTGTTATGGAGAACCTCTCGATGTGTGTGTTATGGAGAACCTCTCGATGTGTGTGTTATGGAGAACCTCTCAGATGTGTGTGTTATGGAGAACCTCTCGATGTGTGTGTTATGGAGAACCTCTCGATGTGTGTGTTATGGAGAACCTCTCAGATGTGTGTGTTATGGAGAACCTCTCGATGTGTGTGTTATGGAGAACCTCTCGATGTGTGTGTTATGGAGAACCTCTCAGATGTGTTAAACAGAGTGTTTCCCAGCAGTCACCTTGGTGATGATCAGAGGCTCTCGATGCTCCAGTCCTCCTCTGAGAGTGAAGCCCCATGGAGCTCCTCCTGAGAGGAAAACCTCCAGCAGCCTGCAGCTCTCTGCTTCTCTGTGAGGAACGTCTCTGTGAGGAACGTCTCTCTGCATCACATGCCAAACGCTGCCTGCCTCTGAGTACTGAGGACCGGACTCCATGCTACTGCTGAGAGGAAACAAAGATATCATTAAATCAAACACAAACACAGTTAGAACCGAGCAGACCCTGCTCCTCTGGATCCAGTCAGTCCAGAGACAGGTGTGTGTGTGTCCGTCTCTCAGACTGTGTCAAAGCTCACTGCAGACGTAAATACTGTTATTACACAAAGACTAAATATTTCTGAAAGTGCACATTTTCCTAACCCACCACACGTAAACAGTCCTCTCCTGCTGATGTTCAGGTGTGTATCAGTATGTAGAGTCTCTACTTTAAAGAGTCCTCTCCTGCTGATGTTCAAGTGTATATCAGTATGTAGTGTCTCTACTTTAAAGAGTCCTCTCCTGCTGATGTTCAGGTGTATATCAGTATGTAGAGTCTCTACTTTAAAGAGTCCTCTCCTGCTGATGTTCAGGTGTATATCAGTATGTAGTGTCTCTACTTTAAAGAGTCCTCTCCTGCTGATGTTCAAGTGTATATCAGTATGTAGTGTCTCTACTTTAAAGAGTCCTCTCCTGCTGATGTTCAGGTGTATATCAGTAAGTAGTGTCTCTACTTTAAAGAGTCCTCTCCTGCTGATGTTCAGGTGTATATCAGTATGTAGTGTCTCTACTTTAAAGAGTCCTCTCCTGCTGATGTTCAGGTGTATATCAGTATGTAGTGTCTCTACTTTAAAGAGTCCTCTCCTGCTGATGTTCAGGTGTATATCAGTAAGTAGTGTCTCTACTTTAAAGAGTCCTCTCCTGCTGATGTTCAGGTGTATATCAGTAAGTAGTGTCTCTACTTTAAAGAGTCCTCTCCTGCTGATGTTCAGGTGTATATCAGTATGTAGTGTCTCTACTTTAAAGAGTCCTCTCCTGCTGATGGGTCTTTGCTTCCTATAGTTGTAACTGTGTAACTGCTGGAGGAGAAACAGCACATTAAAGATTTGATGATTCCTGATAATCACGTTAATCCTCTCCATTGTTAAAGAGGAGGACTGTGTAATGCCTGGTGTCAATTTGAGCAAATATTGTAATAGATGTATGAAATAATACAACATAAGAAATGCAAGTAAACAAAACATGTTAAAAAGAAGGCTGAATTCTTACTCTGAAAACATCTGTTCTGCGTACATTTTATAATCATTTAATCAGAAATACATTTATGATTTTCTCCAGCTGCATCTGAAACCCTGATAAGCTTGGCAGTAACACGAGTCATCAAATAATACCATGATCAGATACCAACAACCAACCTTTCTTTATACCGTCGACATTACTGTGTTATTATTACCCCGTGTTATTATCTTTGTTATTACCTGTTTGTATCTGTTTTATTGTAACCTGTGTTATTATTACTGTGTCATTGTTACCTGTGTAATTATTACAGTGTTATTACTGTGTAATTCTGCAGCTGATTAAACTGATGATAAACAATGGAAACCTCTCCAGCAGATACACGGAGCCCGGCTCTAACACCGACCCACACTTTACTGATCCACACAGAACCTAACTGTCTCCAACTATAAAACTACTTTATTCATTATGTTATAGTTTAACACCACCGACCCACACTTTACTGATCCACACAGAACCTAACTGTCTCCAACTATAAAACTACTTTATTCATTATGTTATAGTTTAACACGACCGATCTTACCTGTGAGTGACCGTGTGTTTAGGGCTCCAGGAGAGAACAGGGGCTCCGGACCGAGGAACGGGAGCTCCGGACCGGGCAACGGGAGGCTCCGGACCGGGCAACGGGAGGCTCCGGACCGGGGAACGGGAGGCTCCGGACCTGGGAACGGGAGGCTCCGGACCGGGGAACGGGAGGCTCCGGACCGGGGATCAGGAGCTCCGGTTAATAAATCCCTGCTCCGTGTATCACAGTCTGCATCTTTCAAACTTTTAGAGTCAAACCAACAACTTCATAAAGTGAATCCCCGGCTGTCTCTGTGCAGAAACCCGAGTCTCCTCCGTCAGAGGCTCCAGGAAACAGTGATTCAACTCCTGTTAGCTTCAGTTAGCCTCTGTTAGCCTCGGTTAGCTTCATGTGTCCCCTGCTTTGATCCCAGGAAACATTTGAAGCTAACTGAGGCTAACAGGAGGCTAACAGGAGAACAGGTTAATAACAAGAGCAGAAACTGAAGTCTGCTGCCATCTGCTGTCCGAGAGGGGAACTGCACGTATTACAATATTAAAATATATAAACAGTGGTGGAGGAAGTACTCAGATCTTGTACTTGAGTAAAAGTAGAAGTACTCAGATCTGGTACTTCAGTAAAAGTAGAAGTACTCAGGTCTTGTACTTGAGTAAAAGTAGAAGCACCGACCTCGATCGTAAGGCTTTACAGAGGGTGGTGAAAACTGCACAGCACATCACCAGGACGGAGCTGCCATCCATGGAGGACCTTTACTCCCAGCGGCTCAGGAAGAAATCACTACGGATTATCAAAGACCCCCATCACCCCAGCCACAAACTGTTCTTTCTGTTGCCGTCTGGCAGACGTTACCGCAGCATCCTGGCAAGGACAAGAAGATTCGGAGACAGTTTCTTCCCGCGGGCAGTGAGACTGTTAAACAATTGAACTGTTGAAACAACATCAAACATTCATCTGCTACTCAGTAGTATGTATCTAATACCTAATATATATATATCATTCCAATAACTTGTATATAGACTCATACTGCACTATTCCACATCATAACTTTATTTCATTTTTATAACTATTATTATTTTTGTATTGCTCTTGCTCTTATTGTTATTATGTTATGTTATTATGTTGCATTGTTGGAGAAGCCTGTGACATAAGATTTTCAACTGCATAATTACTCTGTAGCTATGTCAGATTGACAATAAAGAACCTTGAACCTTGAACCTTGAACCTTGAAGTACTCAGATCTGGTACTTCAGTAAAAGTAGAAGTACTCAGGTCTTGTACTTGAGTAAAAGTAGAAGTACTCAGGTCTTGTACTTGAGTAAAAGTAGAAGTACTCAGATCTGGTACTTCAGTAAAAGTAGAAGTACTCAGATCTGGTACTTCAGTAAAAGTAGAAGTACTCAGGTCTTGTACTTGAGTAAAAGTAGAAGTACCAGAGTGTAGGAATACTCTGTTACAGTAAAAGTCCTGTATTAAAAATGTTCCTCAAGTAAAAGTAGAAAAGTATTATCATCAAAATATAGTTAAAGTAGTTCAAAGTAGTCATTGTGCAGATAATAATAATAAATATGATATGTCTTATAATTATTGATGCATCAAAGTGCTATCAAAGCTGAAGCTGTGTGTGTGTGTGTGTGTGTGTGTGTGTGTGTGTGTGTGTGTGTGTGTGTGTGTGTGTGTGTGTGTGTGTGTGTGTGTGTGTGTGTGTGTGTGTGTGTGTGTGTGTGTGTGTGTGTGTGTGTGTGTGTGTGTGTGTGTGTGTGTGCAGTCTGATTAAAAAACCAGACGGATTAAACAACACATAATCATAAACAGTTTATTAATAATCAGAGTCACTGAATATGGATTATATAATGTGTTTCTGGTCTGTACTGTATATAATAATAATAATAATAATAATAATAATAATAATAATAATAATAATAATAATAATAATGATAACAATAACAACAATTAAAAAGAAATATATATATAAAACATTTCAATGAATGAATGTAACTGACCTATTCACGGTGTATGAATCATTTTAAAGATTTAAGTTCATATTTATAAAGGTGAACATCTCTCAGGTGTCTGGTGGTCGCTTCTCTTATAATCATTTATAATATTCCTAGAACGCTTCTTCTAACGATTACAAGGAAACTTGGATCTGCTCCGATTTCCAAACTTGTAAAAAATCACAACAGGAACAATTCATAAAATGTAATAACATAACATTTGAAGTGAAAATATGAACACAAATTTGCAACTGAAACACTAAATAAGGATGATGAAATAATGAAAATAAAAAAAACACAGATGAAGGAAGTAGGTGGAGGGTGCATCATGTAGGGTGGAGGGTGGAGGCAGCCTTCAGTACACAGGCACAGCAAAGTACTCATGACGGTGCTGATGGAAAGAGAGGCACAGAGCTGAGAAACAAAAACACCTGATATGGTAACATCCACCTAGTAACATCCACCTAGTAACATCCACCTAGTAACATCCACCTGGTAACATCCACCTGGTAACATCCAGCTAGTAACATCCACGTAGTAACATCCACCTGGTAACATCCAGCTAGTAACATCCACGTAGTAACATCCACCTGGTAACATCCAGCTAGTTACATCCACCTGGTACAACATGACGTGGTTACATCCACCTGGTACAACATGACGTAGTAACATCCACCTGGTACAATATGACGTGGTAACATCCACCTGGTACAACATGACGTGGTTACATCCACCTGGTACAACATGACCTGGTAACATCCACCTGGTACAACATGACGTGGTTACATCCACCTGGTACAACATGACCTGGTAACATCCACCTGGTACAACATGACCTGGTAACATCCACCTGGTACAACATGACGTGGTAACATCCACCTGGTACAACATGACCTGGTAACATCCACCTGGTACAACATGATGTGGTAACATCCACCTGGTACAACATGACCTGGTAACATCCACCTGGTACAACATGACCTGGTAACATCCACCTGGTACAACATGATGTGGTAACATCCACCTGGTACAACATGACGTGGTAACATCCACCTGGTACAACATGATGTGGTAACATCCACCTGGTACAACATGACCTGGTAACATCCACCTGGTACAACATGACGTGGTTACATCCACCTGGTACAACATGACCTGGTTACATCCACCTGGTACAACATGACCTAGTTACATCCACCTGGTACAACATGACCTAGTTACATCCACCTGGTACAACATGACGTGGTTGCCTTGTCACAGACAATCTGTTCAACAAAATATGTTTGTCTTTTTCACTTGCCTGCTATGATGGTTCTTCAGGACTGCTTCTTGAGCTCTAATCACACTTTCACAGACTTTGCTGGTGATTTTAAAGTAGATGGCAATGTATATGTATCGATTAAGAGGAAAAGATGCCTGGTTTTCTTGTTGTTATTGCCATCAGGAAATATACAACCTAACCCTGGACCGCCCAGTAGCAGCAGTCAGATCACTACTCCTGCTGATTTTAATTCTAGGTCTGGGTTGGGTTTCATTCACTTAAATGTGCGCAGTCTTTTACCTAAACTAGATTTTGTCCGCATTTGGGCGAGCTCGACTGACGCTGATGTCATTGTCTTATCAGAAACGTGGCTAAATAAATCTATATTGGCCTCTGACATATCCTTAAATGGTTACAGTGTGTATCGTACCGACCGACCTAATAAAGGTGGTGGCGTTTATGTGAAAAATACGTTTTGTGTAACCAAGATGGTTTCCAAATCTATCAGTAAACAACTAGAATGTTTAGCCTTAAATATATATATATATATATAGAAATGTATTTATTGGGATAAACCCCTTGAGATGCACCATCTCGTTTTCAAGGGGGTCCCGACAAGAGCAACAACTTACAGACATACATAAACAAAAAGACAAAAAGCAAAACATGACACACAAGACAAACCACGTAGTCTGTTAAGTAACATTCAAGTAATCATTACAATCATTACAACCATTACAATCATTACAACCATTACAACCATTACAATCATTACAATCATTACAATCATTACAATCATTACAATTTGAGAGACAGTCGAGCAAATCAGTTTCCTCAATAACCAGTGCAGAGCAGTTGAAAGTGAGATGATAATGTTTGAACCCAGTGATGCCAGAGATCTAATAGCAGCAGGTATTCCAGTCTGTTGGGGCTTTGAACATGAACGCTCTTCTGACAATACATTTTTTTGCAGAGGGGACAGAGAAATAATTCTGGACAGAGTGTCTAACTTGATGATTTGGCGAGTAGGGTACAAAATACTGCTTTAAATAAGGGGGATAGTTAAGATAAATGCATTTAAATATCAGCTGAAACCAATGCGTGTGTCTTCTTACATTTAATGAAGGCCATTTCAGTTGGTTATACATTGTGCAGTGATGTGTACGAAAAGGACAACCAAGAACACATCTGCATAGTCTATTGCAGGCTATGTTGAGTGGAGCAAGATCTGATTTATGTGCATTTTGGTAGACAACATCACAATAGTCCATAATCGGAAGAATAAGTTGAGAAGCAATTCTCTTTCGGACACTGAGCGTAAAACA